GTCCTCTCTTGCCAAGAAAATTGTTGGAAACCCTAATTAGTGTATGGTTTTAGCGAAAAATTGTTTTGAAATTTATAAAAATGAATTGTAATAGTACATTCAGGACAAATTGTTTTGAAATTTATAAAAATGAATTGTAATAGGACATTCAGGACAAATTGTTTTGAAATTCATAAAAATGAATTGTAATAGGATGTTTTAAATATCAAATATCAAGCTTAATTTACTATTTGTAAAATTTTATTTGAACATTATATTAATTATTAAATAAATTAAAGATTTTATTATAAGCTAATCTCTAATATTTAATTAATTATTTTCATGTTTTACTTATTATTGAATAAAATAGTTTATAATGAAATAATTAAAACTAGTGTTGAAAGTCATGCAGTAATTAGTCTAAGTGTTTCAAAACTGGTTAGCACTTTAAGCACAGATTAGCACTCGTAGATGTAGAGCAGTGGCTGTCATTCTATAAATATAGTGACAATTAACCTTGAAACAAATTTGCATTTTAAAGCATTTGATTCAATACTAGTTATTTTATTTATCTCTATTACTTAAAGTTAAAAGACATACTTTGAAAATTAATAATAAATTCATTTTAATTCGTACAAATGTTTTATATTTGGTTTATTGTAAGTACTTAAAATTAACAAATATTAATATATGAAATGCCAACCTATTAGTTTTTAAATCAGATATTTAACATTTAAAAACTATTTTGGCATTTTCAAGAAATTTTGAAAATTTTAAAACCATTGTTGTGAATTTCTTATAGGCTTAACATTTGATTTTGAGATCATTTGAGCCAATTTTCCCATAAGCTTAGCATTGAATATTGAGTATTTTGGGAGCAAAATACCCGTAGGCTTATCATGGAATATTGGGCACATTATTGGCAATTGTTCCATAGGATTAGCATAGGATATTGGGGCCATTTGAACTAATTTCCTTATAGGATTAGCAAATTATAATAGTATACATTAGTAAGATAATTTCTGAAATAAATACATTAATTTACTAAATTTGTTTGAAATATTTGCAATATTTACAAAATGTTTACTTAATTTAAAATTGAATTAATAGTATTTCTAGAAAATTAAACAAAATATTGTTAAATTAATTACAAAAACTCAATGATTTTTTATAGTCAGATTAAGTAATTAATTTCAATATATTATGACACTATTTTAGTCAATAATAAGTAAAACATGAAAATAAATAAATAAATAATTATTAAAGAGATCAGCTTATAATTAAATCATTAATATATTTAATAAGGGGTCATCCACAAAGTACGTACGCAAAAATTTGGTCAAAAATTTACCCCCCTCCCCCTAGTTGCACATCGTACGCATATCACGACCCCTCCCCTCAAGCGTACATACACTTCGATCAACCCCCTCCCCCAACAAAGGGAGAGCCGTTTTTAACTGTAATCTCATTATTTACGTAAATAATTGTCACTAATTTATTGCAGTTATAATAAATTGAAAAGGGATAATGAATTTAGTTTATAGTTTATGACAATCTCTAGCAAGAATTGCTCAACTTTACAAAATTATTTACTTAATGTCTAAAACCTCTAAAAACTAGTTTTGTATTCATTCAAAGTCTAATTTCCAAATATTGAGATAAGTTTTCACTTTTCATCTCATTTCAAATGGATTAAAATTTTATCAAATAATACTTTCAATAAGTTCTGCTCATAGATTTAACCCCCCTTAAAAGCGTACATACATTATTCCGTTACCCCTCATCAATATAACATACGCTTTCATACGTTTTTGGCATGACCCCCCTCCCCCCTAGGCGTGCGTACGTACTTTATGGATCACCCCTAATCAATAAAATGTTCATATAAAGTTTTACAAATTTTAAATTAAGCAAGATATTTGTTATTTTAAAACATCCTATTACAAATCATTTTTATAAATTTCAAAACAATTTTTCGCTAAAACCATACACTAATTAGGGTTTCCAACAATTTTCTTGGCAAGAGAGGACAAACAGGCAAATTGTGCGTGGTCAGGATGATATTTTGAGGACATAATGTAAAATGTTTAATATTACTATCAGAGCTAAGATCCGTTGTGAGCAACAAAAGTAAAGTCACGCATAAAAAGCTTTTGTGGAAAACATTGCTTTGGCAAAAAATCAGTTTGAGTACAGTATTACCATACGATGGATATAGATAATGTACAAATAATTTTAATATTTTATGTATGGTTATAATTTTAGAAAATTGGCTCACAATTTAATTAATTTAGTTAACTTAGTTCACTAATTAGTTAATTTGGTTCATCATTAAGCTAATTTAGTTAAATTAGTTTACTATTTATTTAATTTTGTTAACTATTTAGTTAATTTGGTTCACAAATGTTTCACATAGAAACTTTTGTAACATCTATTATGCGTAAAGAAACATCTATATTTGGTTAAAACTCACAACCGATCGCAGCTCTGATTACTATACACGATGTTTAAGTCATTTGTCCAATAAAAATACATATGATTCAATGCAAAAATTGTTATCAAAAGCAACATATTTTAATTTCCTCTGAAAATCTCATCTAGGCTAATATAATTTTTGTGACTGTGATGAGTATTAGCACTGTATTGACAATTATCTCTGAGTGAGCAGTACAGCTGTTTTTTGAATGACCGATACTGGGATAATCCTCCTAAACAGGAGGGTATTTGACAACCCTGAATATACATATATTGAAATAAAACGCACAGTCATCTAAAAAATGGCTATAAAAGCTCTCATAATAAACACCTTACTTATTAAAATAAATTGAAATACTGAAAAAACTTGTTTTCAATAATTCGACCGGCTAATTAATTTGCTAAAATGGACCAGTTTATAGGCAAATTCGTGCAGACCTCAAGTAATAACATGGAAGGTTATTTGACAGCATTTGGTAAGTGTCGCTATCATACATACGCCAATTTGTGGGTCAATTTACTCAATGCTCCCATTGACCACATGACCCATTCATTGGCGTTGACTAACCAAACAAACTGTACGGTAATATGAGTCCATTTACTTATAGGACAGGCGGACAAAATACCAATATATAACTCAAAGCCACGGGTACTGGAGGTGAGCAAATTGGGCGCTGTCTACACGAACAAGATGTTCACCAACGGCTGTAGTTCGGTGAACGAGTTCGAGTTGGACAAGGAGTTCGACGCCACCCTACCGGACGGCACGCCCTGCCGGGCGGTCATGACGTTGGACGGCAACCGACTCGTGGAAAGGCGGACTCGACGCGGAATTATAGAGATTGAAAATATTCGCGAGTTTGTCGGCAATGAGCTCCGGATGACCATTACTATCGGGTCCGTGATTTCTGGGATGACATTCGCGCGCCAGTAGACAATATTATGTACTAGCATGGTGCATTAGTGGTTAGATATTCTTGTGACAATTTTCTATACAATGTTTCCATGCTTAATTCCTTTTGATTGTCACATTGTTTAAATAGTAAAATTAAAAACTTTAAAATTCAAGTTTCGGTGTATGTTTTAAGCTGAATATCTAATGCTTGATTAAATAGATTTTATAATTATAATAAATTTATGGATTATTTCATTTTGTCAATTTCGGGCAATAAATATATAAATACTTTTCGAAGTGATCTCCGATTCATTGATTACGAAACCCATAGGAGATCTGCTAATGACATGTCTTTGAAATTATCGACTCCTAAACATAACTCCACTCAAAATACTGTGTTTTTTAAAGGCATCAAATTGTGCAACTCGTTATCATTATCTCATAGAATTAGTAATGATTTTTAAAACTTTTAAATCAAAATTGTTTTTTAATTATTTTTTATAACCCTTTAAATATATTTAATTATAGAGTATTTGTTTAGAATATTATGTTTTCAATCAGATTTCATTTATTATAAAAATTCTAGTCATTTTATAAACCATATACTATTTGTGGTATAAATAATTAAAAAGTTTATTACTTTAATACAACACTATTTTTTGAATTTAAAGGTTTTAGTGAAATAGTCAAAACACCAAAGGGGTTAGTAGAAAGTAGCATGGTCAACTCTGAGACCTAAATTCCTTGAGAATGTTAAAAATTCCTTAAAAATTTTATTGAGATTTCCTTGAGTATTAATTTTGAGAAATATAATAAAATGTATCAAATATTTTTTTTAATATTCGAATAATATTAGCAAATTATAATAGTATAAATTAGTAAGATAATTTCTGAAATAAATACATTAATTTACTAAATTTGTTTGAAATATTTACTTACAAAATGTTTACTTATTTTAAAATTGAATTAATAGTATTTCTAGAAAATTAAACAAAATATTGTTCAATTAATTACAAAATTCAATGATTTTTTATAGTCAGAATAAGGAGTTAATTTCAATACATCATGATACTATTTTATTCAATAATAAGTAAAACATGAAAATAATTATACAAATATTAAAGAGATGAGCTTATAATTAAATCATTAATTTATGTAATAATCTATAAAATGTTCAGAAAAAGTTTTACAAATAGTAAATTAAGCAAGATATTTGATATTTTAAAACATCCTATTACCAATCATTTTAATAAATTTCAAAACAATTTGCCCAAAATATAATATTATAATTCATTTTTATAAAATTAACGACTTGCTTGCGCAAATAATCAGGACTTATGTTAATATACCATGGTATCTATATATGGCAAAAAATATCTTCAGAATAAATATAAAATAAAATCAATTATTTGGCTGAAAATAAGCTTGTTTTAAGAAAATAAGGGGTACAGTAACTTAACTCAAGGTATTATGCGGCTACAAGGCAGTGTAAGGGGTTATTAAGCAACAGGGTATTTCCCATTATTTTAACACTTACGGCACTTATAATACAACCAATTCATGTATAGAAGTATATAACAAATAACTAACTGACCAGTGGACATATTTGATTAGTGGAATAAGCGTGTTAAGGCCTAACCTTGCCTAAATTAAGTCAAATGATCATTGGTCCGCCAGTTATTTAAGTGTAGGCCATTTGGGTGAGCCCACATTATTAACATGTACCAACAGTGCATCAGGTAAATTTACAAAAAGCTTTCAATTCTTGGAATCATTATTTTCAATTAATTTCATTTTCATAGATAAAGATGTTAAACAATATGATTGATGTAAAATTAAGTGACGAATTAATTTAATTGGAAATATTTATTCAAAGAATTGAATGCTTTTATATCTGATACACTGTTTGTTATTCGTATAATTTATAAGAAATTAGTTTATCGAGTTTATAAATATATCGGAGTCAGGAATAATAATCATTAATCTGGTTTTATTTCAAAAGAAAAATTGTTAACAAGCAGAATTATAATGAAAATAATGTTATAATTATTTTAATTAAAAAGGTATTACATTAAAGTATAGTAAATAATAAATTGTCATACATTAATTAATAATTATTAAAATTTTAAAAATTAATTTAATATAAAAATTATACCATTTAATTATTTTTACTCAAATTTACGCTTAGAAAAATATCTTTCTAGTCTCATTAGCCTCAATAATTAACAAGAATATTTTTACAAAATAATATGAATATTATTTTTAAATATCTCATAAAAATTGTCTTGATTATATATAAAATTAAAGATAAATTGCTTCGATTACTACATCGATTGACCTACTTTTTTAAAGTTAAATTTTTTGTTTGTTTAAAGATAATTAAACAATCTACATTAAATTCTGATTAAAAACTTGTGTTTATAAAATTTAGGTCCATAAATGACGTAATTTATTAGAAATAATTGTGTTAAAAATTACGGAATAAATTGTAAATTTTGTAAACAGGTCAATTAATAGGTAGGCCAATCGACTGTGAACGATAACGTGCATTATTTTAATAGGTAGCCCCCTTCGCAAACAAGTGTACTCCCGGTCACGAAACTTGAGTCACGCGACGCTATAAACAGTACGGCGTTTACGTTCTCTATGGGCCGAACCATACGCCCCAATGGGATCTGTTGAGGTATTTGCTCGTAAATGGCGTCCAATTCATCACTCGTTAGACCCAAGTTGTCATAGAATCCACTTTTGATAGGCGCCGGACTTTATGACAAAAAACATGATTCATATATGAGTCACTCAAGTACCAGACAGTGTCAAGCAGCGTATTTTTTGAGAGTCCGAAACGACGGTTGTAATTTAAACTTGAATTTATTTGTAAAATTTTACACAGATAGAAAAACTTTGGTGATATGTATTCATAAAATTTGTGATAGCTATTAGGATTTAATATTTTAAATAAATTTACATATATTACTAAATTTTGCATTATGTTAATTCAGCTCGAAATTAAATAAATTCAGTAAAATTAAGTTAATTTAGTGGACAATTATGTTAATCTACTTCACAATTAAGTTAATTTAGTGCAAAATTTAGTAATATATGTAAATTTATTTAAAATATTAAATCCTAATAGCTATCACAAATTTTATTAATATATATCACCAAAGTTTTTCTGTCTGTGTAAAATTTTTAAAATAAATTCAAGTTTAAATTACAACCGTCGTTTCGGACTCTCAAAAAATACGCTGGTGTCAAGGCATAATACAAATATGGCAATGAACTATAGGTCCTATGCATATTTTGGCTCCTTGTCCTATGCTTATGCCTAATTTATTTCCCTTTCCCTACACTCCCATTGTACATAGGAATTTAACATGGTGACATACGCTTTGGCATGAACTTGGTGAACGCCACCTAAAATGGTTATGCATTCCAAAACGGATAATCTAATATTGATCCTATCTCCAATGTTTTATATACCCAACTTTACGGTTTGTAAAAATATTTTTAATTTATATAAAACTACCAAGTTATAATTGGCGAATAGTTATAAGCAGATAACTTAACCATTTAAGTTTGCAATAAAGAGGATTTTTCATTTAAAATACATTACGTTTGGTCATTGTTTATGACTCATAAAAAAATTGGTGTTTCTCAAATAATTTAATTTCATAGCTAACCAACATAAAACTAATCCAAATTTCAATTCAGAATTTAATTCTTATTATCCTTAAAGAAACATTATTGTAATTAAATAGGTACTCGTTCATTTTGAATTCTAATTCAAATCTAGTAACGTATAAATAATAGGGTGTAAATATAAAGCATGATTTGAAAAAACAATACTAGATTCCATTGACTCGGACGCCATTGTGGGCCAACTCCAGTGCCAAACATTTCGTGAACATATCCAACGCACTCTTCGACATATAGTACGATAGCGAGTAGATAGTCTATCAAAAAATATACCGTAAAAACAACTTGCTGAAACTAGGAACTAAATGTTTCA